CCCCCCCCCCCCCCTCCGCCCCTGCTAATTTCTGACAAGTCCCTAATAACGGATCATTGTTTTTATAGATTTGTATATATTGCGTTAGTTTTAATTTTTCCCGTTTTTATCATTATGAACAAAATGGTTTAATAGTTGCTTTAGTTTTAATTTTTTCCTTTTGTACCCATTGTAAATATAATAGGATATGGTTGTAAATTTGTAAATATTTTTCAATAATGTTGTTTACATGACTGTAAAGCGCCTTGAACATAGGATAAGAGCGCTATAGAAATAAAATTATTATTATTATTATTATTATTATTATTATTATTGTAAGAGTAAACTGATCAGCCAAAAGAATAAAAACTCCAACTGTGTAACTATAATAAAAGCATCAAAAACTATATCATATTGTCAATAGACACGTCTTAAATGACTCTGTAAAATATGGTATAATAATGAAAATAAGAATTGACTACTGATTCCTGATGTCCTTCTCAGGTGACTACTGAACAAGTTACTACCGCACAAGGTGTGCACACGACTAGTCTTCTAAAACAATCTTCGAAAAGTACACTTGATTTTCTCTTCGGGATAAAGAGTTCCTACGCGATGAACGCTTCACTTTGTATTTGTTACACACAAAAACTGAGTTCAACTTCAGATAGGAACCGCTTCGCACTGCATTCGCTTCGTACCTGTACAACAAAAATAACAAAAAGAAAAGTTAGCAAGCTAGTAAAAGGAAAGGATATTGATTTCAGCCGGCGAGGTACAATATTCTAAATCTGTTAGATCAAACGATAATATTTATACTGGTAACTTCATTCTACAAAGAGCCTTATTGTAGATTATTGATACTTTCATACCGTAAATCCTCTATGAAGCCCCCCTATCCAGTAAGCCCCTTCCCCCCAATTTCAGGGAAGAAAATTCTTTCCTTTTAAGCCGCCCTCCCCCTATTCTTAAATAGTAGACGTATGGTAGATGTAATATATTAATCACGATTGTAACACCTCACGTGGACTGATCCCGTATGGTTTATTCACGTCCTGGAAGTTCAAATTTGTTTTTGATCTGCGGCTGCGCGACCTCCAACTTCATATGCTTCAGTTTTTCCACTTTAGCTTCGGTCTCTATTCGGAATAGAGAATCGATAGTCATACCACAATCTTCGCTTAATTAAATAACCCCCTCTCCCCCTCTCTATTAACCGCCCCCCCCCCCTCCCACTTAAACATACTTGAAAGAAATAAGTCCCCCGGGGGAGCTTAATAGAGGATTTACGGTAGGTTCCTACCTTTCAGTCGATTAGTATGACCTCTGTTACATCTCATAACCGACCACTCATCAAAAATACCAAAATCATTTTTCTACCCAAAGCACCATACCTGGAACCACTCCTAAGTGATCACCGTTCGTAAGTGACCGGCAAGTATTGGCATTTTAGCTGGTCGCTTACGGCAGGTTCCACTGTAATGTTACAATGGAACGAACTCAAACAGGGCCACCGACACTTTGTAATGTACAGAAATGTTCTTGTGTTTGACTGCCTAAAATATCCTAAAGTCAGAGTCCTTTTAACTGCTGACATGACCTGTGATTGGCAGCTTGATGTTAAGTGGCACTGGTTGAGTTCGTTGCCTCATAAAGGCTTTTGTTTAAGCACGTAATATGATCGCAGGTTTAAATACGTCCCAAAATACCTTGCTATTTATTTGATGCCCTCAAACTCAAGCGTCACGTCGTCACCAATGAGAACAAACGGTGCCCAGTACTTCACTGCACTAAAGCGGTCAGATTCTCTCATAGATTTCATGGCTTTATTTAGAGCCTCACTGGCACTTCTTCCATCGACTAGTTGTCGGTAGAAAAATTCCATGAACTCCATCGTAGCCTCGTCGTCAATCGCCCAAAGGGACACCAGAACAGAACGAGCACCAGCACCCAAAAATGCCCGTGCGATGCCGACCACACCCTCAGGTTTGACTTCTCCCCGAGCACTATGACAACAACTAAGTACAACAAGTCTTGCCCTAATCTGCGCCTTTAAAACATCTTTCATAGTTAAGAGATAATCCTCCTCGCCTGGAATCTGGGATGAACGTGTTGTGTTTGGGGTTAAGGCAATTTCCCCTGTTTCCCTATCACCGTGAGCAGCAATGTGCACCAAAGCAACCGAGGAGATACGCCTTAAAACTTCATCTTTTGTTGCCTGCTTTCCGATAAGAGGGAGAGTTTGAAGCAATTTCCCGATCATCCGAACTTCTTTTTCGGCCCAAATTAACTGCTCTAGTTTCTTCTGATAACGTATTTGCTGTACCCAAGGATCACCGACTAGAAGGGCGCCTGTCTTCCTGTGCCAATCTGAGGGACAATTTTGGATTAATCGAAGACTAGAAAGTGAGGGAAGCAGACGAATTCTAAAAGTTTCGAAGAGGTACTTTGACTTCAAGTCCATGAAAGCAGCATAAGGCGCCAAACACAGAGGTCCTTGTGGAACAATCACAACCTCATCGCCCTGGAGGAAGTCTCTTATAGGGTCTATGACAACATTGTAAAATGTTTGTAACGAGTTTGTCTCAAAATATGAGGAATGAGACGTTGGCTTATTGGATCTTTTTTCTGATAACTTTTTAACACTTGGGTTTCTTAATACGCAATCTTCACAGTTGACATCAGCTCTTACACCTATTTCCTCATGTGCAGTCTCCAATAGAGACTGAAAATAGGTTGTGACCGAGATATCGATCTCAGTTCTTCTAGTTTTTATTTCTTTTCCTTTCTCGTTCACCCAGAGAACTATTCGTCCCTCGTTGATCGCTATGAAAGCTGTATTTGATGGTAGGTAATTAAGAATGTCACCTCTTGTTGCAGAGGGTGTTCTTATTTCTGGACATAACCCTTTGAACCCATACTTGAACTCCAGCAGATCATTCAAAGCTCCTGCACGTCCATGATTAGCAGTTAAAAGTGCCTCAACGACTTTACCTTGCTTAAACTGCAGCCACCATAGCCTGGAATAACTAACCTCATACGTACTCCTTAGGCTAATCTTCCATTCGTCATTAGATATGAGATTTCCCCTGATATGTTCGAAGGCCAAAACACTGTCTTTATAATAGTGAACGGCTTTCTGGAAATCTCCAAGACTGTGATAGGCGTTGCCAAGATTACAGTACGCTTTTCCTTCTCCTGCCCTGTCTCCCACTTCTTTCGAAATTTTGAGGTCTCGTTCATGGTACTCTATGGCTTTCTGGAAATCTCCAAGACTGTCATAGGCGTTGCCAAGATTACAGTACGCTTTTCCTTCTCCTGCCCTGTCTTTCACTTCTTTTGAAATTTTGAGGTGTCGTTCATGGTACTCTATGGCTTTCTGGAAATCTCCCAGACTGTAATAGGCGATGCCTAGGGCGTGCTGGAAATCTTTAAAGTTGACAAAAGGGTCGCCAATATTGCCATTAATAGCTTTGGTTGTCATATTTTTTTGCTGGCTTTGCTATTTCAGCTCAGCCACATATTGTGGTTCTTTTTTTCTACTGATACCATCAGTCTCTTTATCTACGATAACGAAGAGGGTCTGAAAAGTAAAATTAAAAGCTTTTTTATTACCTCCTTTACTATTCGTTTTTGTCGATCACAGTCGCATTTGATTTGCCTCAAAAAGGGATCCTTCTACGTGTTTTTTAACGTTGTATAATATGACTTGATGGACTGGGGTCTTCTCTTAAAAAGGAAAATATTAACATTCGTTTGGTAATAATGATCGAAATTAAAAAAAAACAAACAACAACAAAGAAACAGATTTACCATTGTTTAAACATGGTGTATATGTGGAGGATATTATATGGCCGCGCGGAGATGGGAAAATTCTCTTCGAGTGTTGAAAAATATTTCACTCGTTCGCTGCGCTCACTCGTGAACATTTTGTTCAACATGAGAAGAGAAATATAGTATCTCAGAGCGACCATGTAATATTCTATTTATTACATAGAGACCAACGAAATACCAACCATTTTACTTAAATAGTTGTTTGGTCTCAAAGGTGCGGTTTATTATGAAGCTATAGCAACGATGGCAATTTCACATGTGAAGATAACATGTTATTTTCACATGTGAAGATATCAAGTTTTCGCACGAAAGCTCACTTGGTATTTCATTGGTGTTTAGATAATAAAAATTCTCTCTCTACTCATTATACATTCATCTACCTTCCACTGAAAAAATAAATTTGTTGCCAACAAACTACAAACCGGGCCAGCGGAAACATTTCAGAAAATTTGGCAAAGTGAACTTATTTCTAAGGGTTAACATCTCTGGGTAGCGGAATACAAGTGTTTAGCAATTGAAAAGAAAACCTATTTCTTTACCACCAAAACACTGAGAAAGTTACAGGTATTTTAAGCTTGTGGGTTTTCAAAAAACGGTAATAGTTCCACAGCTGGTTCCGGCTCAAGTCCAACTCGGTGTAAAAACCTGAAGAGTTTTCCTTTTTTCTCTCCTGTTTTCTTAAGTAGATCTATAAGTAGGATGAGCATGATTGTCCGAGGGCTGACGTAGTACTAAATAGGACTGTTACATTGACATTGACTGACGCGTGGTAATCATCTGCAGAGTCAAAGTGAGTTGTATTACGTCAGTTGATGGTACAGTCGAACCTCCATGTGGGACCACCTCCCATAAGAGACCGCCAATCCAAAACTCATGCAACAAAACTTTCCCAGTCAAAGCCTTACAGTTGGAGCCACTAGTAAACGACCACCTCTTGTAAGCGACCGCGACCACTTTTTGGGCCTGAAAGTTTAATGATTTTCCATTGTTTTTAAGTTCTAGTAAGTGACCAAACTCGACCACTTGACGCATTCTCTGATCCCTAGTTCGCTGTGTGCACTATGCTACTTAGAATATACGACATCATGTACGAAGAAATGTATTAACGGGGTGTCCGTTATAGCGGGGTGTCCGCAAGGCGAGAGTTGACTCTAAGATGAAATGGATTTTTTTGTTGCAGATGTGTTGCCATAAACCCGACCCCTGGGACTTGCTTGGTAACAACAGCAAAAAGGAAAATAGGAGAAACAGAAACAAACACAAGTTTCTCAATATTCCATACCCGTCATAATTTTATCAGTGTATTACACTTTAATAACACCAAAAATAGTTTAACATGAAATTGAGACATTTTGTTTCAATTCTCTTCTAATCCCATACAGCATCAAGTTCTACACCCCAATAGCAGTCACCGGTGTCAAATTCCCGCCTTTCCGCGTGCATCAGCAAGTCAAATACCCTGGGTTCCCCAGGTGGGGGGTGGGGGAGCAAGTTAATACCTCTGTTTGACCACAATCGACATTTTAAAAAAAAAGTCTCAAAGAACTAAATAGAAATAAAATAAAATTTTCTAACGGCACGGAAGGATTTTAACTTTCTTACGTGGCCAAACATGCTTTAAAGAAGTAATGGTTGGTTCAGCGGGTCCCGCTGTAAACATTTCCCGTAATCAAACGACAACGTCGCTCAAATATATCTTTTTTTTTCTCGTTCAGTGTTAAAGGAAGCAAGAATCTGGTTTAGGGGTGGCTACAGTGCTTAAGAGCATGCAAGGAAAGGAAGACTTTAGGGCCACCCCTCCTTTCTCTTATGTACTTTTGCTTGCCTAGGGATCCCAAGTCATCTTTAATTTGGCAATTGCGTCCACGTCCCTACAACGGATACCTAAAGAGGGGCTTCGACCCTGTAATTATCAAGCTATTGCTTACGGGATCGGTTTAAAACAACGGAAAATATTCAACTATCTTCTTAAAAGGTGGTACTACGAGTTTTGGATAGACTGTCGCTTATGTGAGATGATCGCACATGGAAGTTCGACTGTTATAATTTTCTCCAGCAAAGGTTTCGCAGCAAAGAACCAAAAAGTACAAGCCACTCCGTTCGTTTGCTGAGGCAAGATGTTTAAACGTTTTGGCCACCAATTTCCAACGGAAGTTGAAGCATAAAGATTCTCAAATACTTTGCAGGTTTTTAATTTTTCGGTTTAAGCAGCGACAGCGATAAAGACAGAAGCTACAAATTTCATTGTAGAACCTAGATTTTAAGAACCTCATCCTTTGAAAACGCTTGATTTCCATTGCCCGTATGTGCAGTTCCTTGTTTGTTGTTACGTAAGGATTAAAACTACCATTTAAAGCATACGGAATTCTTCTAAATAAATCGTTTGTAATAAGAAATATTAAATAACCGACGACGAAACTTTTAGAGCATAAGTAAGCGAAAGGGACGATCGAAGGGAACTGTTTTACTGTTAACCGACTCAAATGATCATACACGGATAACTAACACGCGTAGAATTAACGAATTACAGCAATCACAGAGGTATGAGATTCCTAAGTATCTAATGCAAACTCCCTTTGCAATTGGCAAAGTGTCCCAACAATTTTGACTGAGACTGTAGCAGACTTCCGGAGAAAAAGTTAAGATTTCGTCTGTTACAGAAAAGAAGAAAAGTAAGGGTATTTGAACGGAAGGGTATCCGGAAAAATATCATTTCTTACTATTCCTCCGCATTCAAAGTTTATCCACAACCACGACCCCGAAGTGTACGCTCCCATAGCGTTTTGATATTTCTTCGATCAGAGTACAATAGCTGATGAAAATAGTGTCTTGCCATCTCGAAATATAAACGATCCTGCCGAATTCGACTGATCTAAAGCTCGTCAGAAAAGATCCCAGCGATTAAAGCCAAAGGCATTTCTTAATCAATCGAGGTGTAACTGAAGCTAACGTATTAAATGCATACCTCAGCTGTAAATTCCCGAATCTTGATAGTTCGCAAGACTACAGCAGTGGGTCCTTGATTCGTGACGACGAAAGGATCTACGGGGAAATGATACTTTGTAAGACAAGTCTGTGTGTAAAAGTCAATTGAATTTTCCTTCACAAGCGAACAACTGACCAGCACAAAACTAACCTGAGTGTCAATCAAAACTTTTACCGAGTGAAAGATGAATCTTGTATGAGGGTTTTTCCCTTCATTTAGCTTTCAGTTTCAACATAGTTAATTAAAGTGGAATGGTTGGGAAACCTTTGGTTATAGGTTTTTGTTAGCTATTTTGGACCTGACCATGCACAACGTTCAAGAACATTCCTATCATTTTAAACTTACTGACCAATATAAACATTGCATTAATTTATTCAGTCACAACCTGTGAACAAAAAACAAAGTATTGTGCACGGTCTGAGAGCTTCCAACATAACCTACAGCACTATTAATTTCAACTTTGACGTTTGCCGGGTTTCTTANGTTTATCCACAACCACGACCCCGAAGTGTACGCTCCCATAGCGTTTTGATATTTCTTCGATCAGAGTACAATAGCTGATGAAAATAGTGTCTTGCCATCTCGAAATATAAACGATCCTGCCGAATTCGACTGATCTAAAGCTCGTCAGAAAAGATCCCAGCGATTAAAGCCAAAGGCATTTCTTAATCAATCGAGGTGTAACTGAAGCTAACGTATTAAATGCATACCTCAGCTGTAAATTCCCGAATCTTGATAGTTCGCAAGACTACAGCAGTGGGTCCTTGATTCGTGACGACGAAAGGATCTACGGGGAAATGATACTTTGTAAGACAAGTCTGTGTGTAAAAGTCAATTGAATTTTCCTTCACAAGCGAACAACTGACCAGCACAAAACTAACCTGAGTGTCAATCAAAACTTTTACCGAGTGAAAGATGAATCTTGTATGAGGGTTTTTCCCTTCATTTAGCTTTCAGTTTCAACATAGTTAATTAAAGTGGAATGGTTGGGAAACCTTTGGTTATAGGTT